GGAGGGGCGAGTCTGGGGACACCAGGGAGCCAAGGAACCTGCTGGGCGCCGGCCCCAGGGGTCGGCGGATACAATGTTATTGGCAGCCGCGATGCCACGAGTCTGAAGATTACATGGGGTTGCCAGTGTTGACAAACACTCTGAGAAAAAATGAAGATCAGCTTCCTGGAGGAACAGTTGGTGAGTACTTAAGCCTTAAGCGTTGTTTAGGCATGCCTAAATGTCACCGCCGTTAATGGGTGACTTTTACAAACCATGTTTCCTTCAGTTGCTTGACTAGCAGCGGGGCAAAACTTGAATGTCATGAGCCCGATCCGCTCTGAGCACAAATCTCCACGCCAGCAGATGCTGAAGCTCCACATTCAACAGCTCTGCACTTCACCTTAGGCCATAATATCATACTCTACACAGCCATCAGTTGAAGGTCTTGGGCCTGGCTAGAGGAGCTGTGGACAGTCCTGATTCCTGAATGGTGGAAGATAAAACCTTGAGGCTGAAACCCCAGACGCCAATGGTTCTGAAGTTTTGCATGCAGGCGTATCGTGCGAGGAGCTCCCGCACAGCCGACTCGGAGGTGCAGTGGGAATGGAAGCCCTTCTTGATGCTCTTGGCTTCAGTTTGACGGTCGGGCTTAGCTCCGCCTAGTGAAGTTCCCTATATGGCATGGTGACACTTACAGGTGTACGTTTTGAAGCCATGACTCACAAGCAGGAGCAGTAAGGTACGATCAGTCAGAAGGAGGGTCCAGATAGGTTCGGAAATCAAAGCGGCTGACATTTGCGTAACTTGTTCACTCGACGGAGGCATGATCCCAAGTTAAGTGCATGATCGCCATGGAAAGTCCACGCTTTGCGTAGAAAGTTTGGCTTAGGAGCATGTTGCACGAACCTGAAAGCTGAAAGTCTGAAGTTCCTTAGGACATCTCATATCTTGGAGAGTTTCCATCTCCCAAGACATCAATATACACCGTATGCTAATCCGTAAGCCCTGCAGCAAGTCACACATTTCGGAATTTGCTTCCGTTCCAGGTTGCGATCTTCGGGCTGCTCTCGAAGCCCTTGTATGCGGAGCTCCAGCGACTCCGCTTGTGCGAGCATGTGAAGCCCTCTTCTAGTGAAAGCCAGCTAGGAGCTTTTGCTCGAATCAGTGGCACGGCCTCGATCCCAGTGGAAACAGGGAAGATGCTCCAGCCAAGGTTTACGCGGTACCAAAGCTGCCTGTACTCTCTTATTTTGCTGAGACGCCTGGTGCATTAAGAAGTCTTGACGTTGAAGGAGTTATGTGCAAGAGGCTTAACCATGCGGTCATGTGAGGCATCTGGCTCTGAGCTGTTCTGATTTCATGGACATGAAGGTTCCAGCTACTGTCGCTAATTGCTTGGGCGGCCTTGAAGAGAATGTTTCTCAGATTTCAGCAATCGTGGGCGTCAAGGGTTGTGCAACTCCTGTGACGCTGAAAGTTGGAATGTAACCCTCCTAGCATGCAGAACCCTGAACCACAGCCCAAATTCTTGAGCTTTGTGCCAGTGTGCCTGACTTCTGCTAGCTGCCTGCCAGGAAAGATTTTGCTCACGGAAGACGCTCGCTATCAGGCAGAGACAGCAGCTTGGCCTTCAAACTGGGACCGAAGTCCTGAATCCAGACGCTCCTGCACCTAAAACGCCCTCATCCCTAATTTGGGTTTAGAGGTCTTTGCGGTCAGACTCGGCATGCTGCACATCTTGGAGGAGAGTTTGTGAAGAAAAGACTTCGTGCTGAATGCAGTCAGCACCCAGGTGTAGTATCCCTTGCTATCTATGACTTACAGTACATGATGCAACGAAGTCTTCACCCCTTGCGAGAAGAATGTGTAGTGGGATGCTCACTTTTGAGGAGGAATGATTGCTAGTTAAAATCCCCGAGAGCTGCCAACACTCTACGGCTCAATAGAACGCATCCGCGTTGGCATGCTGGACTGAGTTTAAAGTTAAGCACTAAAACCTCATTGGCCCAGAAGTCTGTCAACCTTGGCCCAGCATCCCAAACTTTGAAGCAAGACTGTGGGGGCCCCCAACAGTAGTTTCCATTTTCGTTTCCATTATCCTTTTTTTTTTTTAGGGCCCTAGATTGTTCTTCAACAGTCCTGCGACTCGACTCTCTGGCCCAGGTCGCTCAGAAGCTGGCTGTGAAGGCCTCTTGCCAGTCCAAGACCATAGCTGGGCTATTCCTTTATAATGCCCACATATTACCCATAAAGCCATGAACCCAAAGAATCGCGGAAGTCTTAAATCTATCCACGGGCAGGGGGGAGCCGTGGCCTGTATAGTCAGATGTAGGGCTTGACTCCCTCCCCAAGATCTTCCTGTGGTAGCCTCTTGGAGAGAGTTATGCCGCGGGGTCCTAAGTATTCCACGGGAGTAGATCAGCAACGTGCGAAGCAAATGATTTTTCTGGAGTTTCCAAGAAGTCTCTTTGTGAAGCCGCCATCGCAAAACTGTGCGCAAAACATCTTCTCAGGTGGCCTTTAGGTCTGTTTTAGCCGTACCGAAGAGCCCGCTTTGCTTGATCGAAGGCATTAACGACTGTGCAGCTGGCTCAGAACGACATTGCACCTGGGCAGAAGCCACCGAGCTTGTCAACTTGTTCAAGGCTGTATTTCAAATCAGTGGAGCATGACTCCTCTCTTCCCTGCACCGCACGGGTGGTAGCAGTGTCAGAGTCAGAATACTGCCTCTCTCTAGGGGCTTAAGGAAGGGACCCGTAATGGGTACCCTTGTGTGTTATGGGAGGGAGTATGGGGACTACCTGGTTGTATAGGGGGTATATGCAGACCATAGTTGGGTTATATAAGGTAATGGGATTAGGGGTCCCGTCTAGGGTCCCTCCTAAGAGCCCTTGGTTATTAATCTTACAAGTGGCAGGAAGCGCTGCAGGGTTCCTTATCAGATTGTCAGCAGCAGAGTATTCGAAGCGAAAGTGACTATCCTAATGTTCACGCGCCTGCAATGGGCCTATGATGCCACGAGCTGCTTTTACAGGACATCTAAGTTTCCAGAAACTATAGTGTCTTCAAATGGTGCTGGTGTTGACCGTGCGCAGACAGCTTTTTGAGAAATGGAGTGCTTACCTGCCAAGTTTAGAATCCTGCCAGGGGGAAGGCCCTTAGGACTTAGGACTTGGTGGCAATTTAGCACGTTATAACTTTTGGGGCTCCCTTGTTTCAAGTTCGGAGAGAGAAAACTTCGGGGGGTCCAAGAGCAACCAAGTGAACATCGTAGATGCAACAGAAGGATATGCATACAGCGGCGTCTGCGTGAAGGACACAACATCTTCCACCACTGCAGGAGGACCCTATAGCTCCAAATTATGGCTCCACAAGCCAGGCCTGGGTCAAGCATGGCTTTGGGTTTAAACAACCTGCCTGGTCTGAAGAAAGCAAACAGGAAAGGAACCCGAGTCTTTACCGGGGACACCATTTTCACTCTTTCAGCCGAGGTTTTCAACCGAGGCACCGTGGCAGACACCACGTACTTCTCCCTGGACGAATCTCTGCGGTACTTCCACTATGTCCAAGACGCCGGGTTTCTATTAAGATTTTTTGAGTTACTATAATTAGCAAACCCAGTTAGTATTGAATAATGATGGTAGCTTAATTTAAGTTCCTTAACAGCAACCCAGGATGAGGATGTAGGTCGCGGCACGCTGATTGCAGAGGCCCTGGGCTCCACATCAGCTACTGTCAGGATTAGGGTTGCAGGTACATATTTGAGTTTTAAAGTAGGGGAATATGAGGGTATCGCTAGCGATGATTAGGGAAAGGGAAAAGAAGATGGAAACGACTATATGCAGAACCAAATGGAAAAGAAAATGGACAACGCAGTGGAAACTACTGTAGTGTCAAGCACTGAATTGACTATAGCTCGCACGATCATACCAAAGCTCATGAGATTTGCTCACCAGAGCAGGCCTTGACGGACTCTGCTCGAACCATCTCGATTCCTGATAAGCATACTTTGGAGGTTGGCCTTTGGACCCCATGGGTACATATCGGCGACCTCGTTGCCACAGACATGAATGGCACCTGGCCTCAGAAATACTGGACATTAGGTGACAGGGATCATATGGGATCATGTTTCCTTTTTAGGTTCAGGGTTAGCTGCCGCCAGACATGCAAATTCATGGGGGCCCTGCCCATTTGTGGGCTTTTTCTATCAGATGTGTGCATGCCCAGCATGATGGGATTAGGCTCGAGGAGAGAGTCAGGAGTCGTGGTCATCTGGACTGCTGGTGCTTGTGGTGGTGGAGTGGTGGAGGTGGTGGTGGTCTTGGTGCAAAGGTCTTGTGGCGATCGACATTGAAGCCTTCTGCCAATGCGTCGGTGAGACGCAGGACTTGCGAGCTAGCCATTTGACCTTCACTGCCTGCAGCCTTGCAATACCAGATATGCATCACGGTGGAATAGCTCCTGTTGCAAGCACAGGAAGCATGAGGCTTTCTCCCTGATGCAGGGCCTGCAGCTTCCATCTTGTGTTCTTTCAAAGTATAGCTACTCCCGGGAATTAGAATCTCCAAGCTAAAGCTGGAACAAGGCCTCTGCTGCGTCTCTTGAACTTCGGAGGATTCCAGTCAACCCTCTGAAGCTTGAGCTAAGCTGCTCAAGATGAAGCTCTACAGAGCTGCAGAGGTAGCGAGGAAATGATTGAACATCAAATGGAAAAGAACATGGCAGAATCGATGTATACTACATCGTTTAATTCAGGGTTTTCGATTTAGGCAAGATGCACGTTCTTCTACGAGAGCATGAGGAGTCTTTAGGGGTTAGCCCGAGATGAAATGAGAGTATCCTGCTTTACTTATGAAGCCCCAGAAGCCGGCAAAACATTGGCCACGATTCCAGTACTGGAGGAGACAAAGCAGCAGGCGATCTTCATGGCACAGCCTGGCGACTGCACGAGACAAAATTTTGTTCACTCCAAAAAGTCCCTCCTAAGTAAGTGGAGCTTCTAAGTGGATGGCTACGTTTCCGACCTCCCAACGTGATTTGGAAACACGCTTCTGAAAAAGGTTGAGTAGCATCCTCTCTAGCAGGCCTCCCGAGTGAATTGGTGTCATGCCAAGCTTGTTGCATAGTGTGTTTCAGACAGGGATCGAGAGGCATGAGTCATTGCTCGCTTATTTCCAGGACAGGGAGCTTCTAAGGTCTATCGTTTCGGCCCTCAACGACATCGAAATCCTGACCGATCTGTGGCTGTATCCGATCGAAGACGAGGCAGGCTTCGAAAGTGCATCGACACAGGGTGCAAAGAAGATTGAAGGAGTCCGTTTGGACTCCATCACCCGGCTTGTAAAACAACGCCCCCCCCGCAACCTTGATTTGCAGCATTCGGGCATGTTAGGGTTTAGGGCTTAGGGTTGCGGCATTCGGGCATGTTTCTGAACCCTAGGCTGAGGACACACTCACACTTACCCTGAACAGGGCTAGGCTTGAAAATAGTTGTTGTGCTTTCCAGAATCACTATATGATCCTGTAAAGCCATAGAGGTCGAGTTTCATAGGGCCTCGAAACCTACACGAGAAGTAGTGTCGTAGCAGATTGTGGACTTTGGAGTCCCGTTGCCCAACTTGTACTGCTGCAAGCGAGGATGGCAGCGGGCCAGTGGTGGACCACATGCCGAGTAGAGGGGAGCTACTTGGATGTTGAGGCAGAGGATTGGCTTGAAGGTGTCTTTATATGCCCAAAGGGACCCAAAGGAGGGTGTAGACTTGGCTCGTAGCTGTATTGAGCGAAGCAGGTTGTGCCCTATCCACGGTCCATGATCCGCTTGTCCACATCTTGCACTGCATCACTTAGGTTGGTGACCACCATGGTAATTATCTTCGGGTCCTTATACATTTCTAGTCTACCACCATCAGCGGGTGAACGCCCGATACAATGTATCATCCAAGCGCAATTCAACGGCTCTACCCGCAGATTCTTCCCAAACCTGATGGCAATTGTCCATTTGATCTGCTTGTTGAGCAGATGATAGATGAACCAGGGTTTCCTACAGTTTCCTTTTGAATGCTTCCCAACATCACCTTTTCGTAGTTAAGCTTTTTGCAATACAGCAATGTTTATTGGGCTCGTAAAGGGAACCCTGTGAACCCACAGAACATCCCGGCAACAACACAAGCTCCGGTGTCCATGGTTCCTAAATTTGGCCAGCAGAAGCCGAAATTGCTGCCACGATTATGGTCCTAATTATGTTCCTTGTAAATATGATTAAGCAGCGGGTACCTGAAATAGACGTCAAATGATATTGGCAATTTAGGCCCGCTACAGTAGGTCGAACGCCTCAAACATCAGATCGTCTTGCCAAGTTCTTGCACGTGTCTGTCTCTGACCCTTTTTAGCTAACGCCTCATGAACACTCACGATTACAGTTGCACCGGCAAGAGAATGTATCACAGAATTCAATCAACACTGCCCACCAAGGAATCCTTGGCACTGGTTTTTCGGCCGCCGCTCGGTCTAAGGGCGACAAAAGTTTGATCCAAGGCCCAAGCGCACAACTTTCCGCAGGGCTCACCTTACTGTTGCAAGACTTGAGCTACTCTTACCTTTGATGGGTTTTGTGCCACAGGTTCCTCAAGCATGCGCAGCACTCCTTGTGGGACTTGTTGAGTAGTACTCCTGCTGGATTCTTTGGCATCCAAGAGAAAATTGTCCCTTTCTGAGGTTCACGTGTATAGCTGCGCGCAGCAGTGCAAGAACTCTCACTCTCTCCCTTGCATCCGCGCAATCAGAGCAAGGCCCCTGCTCAAAATCGGGAACTGCAGCAGCTTGGGTCTAGCTAGACCAAACCTACACTTGAAGGAGCCTGGCCAACTGAAATGATGCAGGATGCCGCGATCCAATTCCGAGATCATGGAATATTGGATTTAGGCGCAGTACAACAATGATGGAGAATCCAATGGAAAAGAACACGGAGCATGAGATGGAAAATGGGGTTCGCAGGGGTTATGAGGGCTTGGGCTTGAGCTTACCTTTCTGAGATCGTAGAAGACCCTTCTTGATCACCTGCTGCAAAGCGACCCTGAAAGGACCGTAACATTTGCCCGGTTGTTTATCATCAGTGGCTGGGGGGTTATTATCTAGGGCGGAACGAAGACCGAGACGGGCGAAGCAAAACCACGAGTGTCGGTCCAAGGCCTGACCAGCCGCCGGCGAACTCGGCGGGTGAATTCCAGAACAAGATCAGACTCTGGTGTCGTGGTGCCCAGGCCAGCCACTTGAAAGAGGGTTGGGATACATAGGAATAATCGAAAACAACATGGAAACTACTGTATCGGGTTTCCGGTAAATGGTTTAGGTGCCCAGGCCAGCCACTTGAAAGACTGACGGTGCGCAGCCGAAAATTTCGTTTCCCTGCTCTAGGGAAGTAAAGTTTGCACTTGATTCCAACAAGTTGCATGGGGTGAATGCTACAATGCTATTGCCCGCAAACTCGCCCGAGAACTAGCCTGCGTCATGCCCAGTTGGAAGTGCCTGAAGTTGCAAATGAGCTAGGACGCATTACGCTGGGTGGGGATGTAGGCTTCACAAGTCTGCGGTCAAGCTGGTCAAGAACTCACAATATCAGCAGGCTGCTTCTGCAGCAAGACGTGTTTGGAATTCGCATCCATGGGCCTGAGTGATTCGAACAGAAGTGTAACGTGAGGGCACCTATCTTAAGCCTATCCTGCAGGAAACCCAGGGTTGTTAATCAAGCTACTACTTGGTCAGGCTTTGTGCAGCAAAGCGCTTGGGCTTGTGCAAAGGATCACTGGAGCTTTTTAAGGTGAAAGGAAAATTGTATGGGAGAAGGCAACTCGAGTGTTCATGGTGGATGATTACACTTTCGCCTTATTGAACCAGCGGTAGTATCAATACTGCTAAGAATAGTCAAGTAGTAGTAACCATCGTAGGAACAAGTCATTCCTCGCCGGGGCTTTTCGTCAGATGCATCCCTTGAACTTTTCTACTCATATGTTTCGTGCCAAGATGGCTGTTTGTCATAATTTCGGCCCGCATCCGAAGTTGGGGATGATGGGAAACATAGAGCTTCACTACATTAATTAGAGGCCGGAGTATTAGTAGAGTTGAGGTTGCATGATGATGATCATGTTGATGATGATGCATTTGCTGTAGTGGACATGGCCACATTGCTCTTGACTCAGGTGAGTTGACCGCTTCTCCAGAAATGAGACTATACGCTGCGCCTGATGGTGTTGGCTCATCCCCCAAAAGTCTCACGACAGTCACCACACATTGTGCAAGGGTTAGCGAATGCTAGACATGAAGGGCAGGACAAGAGTGTCGCGATCAGGCTCAGCATTGCACAGAACGAACGGAGCTCGAGGGATGTTCTCACAATCTTCCAGGGCCCCCACACTCGATGCGATTGAGTCTGGATCAGAAAGAGCCATTCCAAATGGCAGCCGTGTCCGCAAGAGTGTGGTCGAGTGGCTCCATGGCAGAGCTTTGCTTCGGCACTCAGAATCTTGGGGCTGTCGCTGTGGCCGACATGTCCCCAACAGCGTCCTCCAAAGGAGGAGATCCAGCATCATCGGTGTGCTTGCACTGGAGCATGCAAAACGGTGAACCCCCCCAAGTGCTTCCGAAGCGAAAGTATTCGCACCCCAATCAGGAATCTTATTGGCCTCAAACCTGGACGATCTGAGCCTTCTCAGCATTTCAATCCCCTCAAGCCCTTGCAAAGAAGTTCACCTGAGCCATGAAGCCAAACGGGGTCAACCCCGACAAACTCTCTATCAGTGGCAGTAGCATATCAAGACCGGATGCGTAGCTAATTACTGGAAGTAGTGGCATCAGCTGTGGTGTAGGAGCAGAAGAAAAAGCAGTGGCTGTGGTGGTGGTGGTGGTGGTGGTGGTGGTGGTGGTGGTGGTGGCGGCCGCGGCCGCGGCCGCGGCCGCGGCGGCGGCAGTGGTGGGTTTGCAAGCAGGAGTACTGGCAGCAGCGGCAGTGGTAGTGGCGAGGTAGTTGTGCTGGTGGTGGTGGTGCTGCTGCTGCGGCTGCTGGTGGGGACGGTGCTTCTGCGGCGGCGGTGGGCGGCGGAAGTGGTCGTAGTAGAAGATCAGCCTGGCAGTAGCGCGCATCTTCGCGTGGTGGCTCGACTCCTGGCCAATCCAAGCACACCGATTGCTGCAAAGCGTACATGTTTGGCTACACACTAGAAGGCATGCAGAGCGGCCCGGAAAGACATCCAGGTTCTTGAGTTGATGTCGCATATCTTCGCTAACTTGAGCCTCGTTGAAGCCGAGAGGCCCTCCCCACGGGTTCACTGCCGGAGAACGTATCTTCTATCACCGCTTTGAGAGGCTCTTGGCAAGTCATGATAAGCTCCGAAGGTCAGCTATATTAGAGCAAGTCAGGCTCGCACCTGTTTGGCGGTTGAATTATGTGCCCACCGGGGCCTTGTGCTTTTCCACGAGACGGGGCGTCCCCATCTAGGCCTGGGGCTTCCAATAATTGTTTTGTCTTGTCACCATTTCCGGGATATTCCCACGAGTGATTTCAAATCATTATGGACCAAGGATCTCCGTACATACCCAATAAAGCCCTAAGCCGTAAAGGGCCCCTATTCTATCCCAGTAGAACCTATGGGATGGGACCGGAGCAAGCCAGCGACCCTGAAGTGATGTGAAACAAGATGGGCGGGCCGCCCTGCTCCCAGAGAGCCCGATGCCCCTTAGTTATTGATTCTAACTTAAATTATCTTAGGGTTCCTACTGTCATGTGGAGTATATTCCTTAAGCGAGGGGTATTGGGCTTTCTGGGGATTCTATCATTCTTCAGTCAGAACCGATATTTTCACGAACCTTGGGAGCTTCCAGGCATTTGACATAGTTACATCCAGATCCCTGCGCTAAGTCATGGCGTTGCGGAAGCTCCCTTTGTTGTAACTTGCAACTGGCCTCATGAATGATGAGGCTGCGTGTGGTCTGCAAGCGGGGGCACATGCAAGCCTATAGACCTTCGCATCTCCTCCCCGCCCCCTTAATTCAGGAATAAACCTTAAATGATACTAGGACCGCTCATGTGATTCAGGCTACATTCCTTAATTAACGGGTACTGGGCTCCCTGGGTCTTGCGTATCCCAGCAGTACACTTCGATGCGTTTCTGCTTAGGTCCTGCAATCTCATGGAGACTACAGTTCCCGGAAGATGTGCTTGTCACGAGTGCTTCGGCTACGATGCTGGCTGCAAGTTAGCAGCTAGTGAGGTTGTGTCCTGTACTTGTAAAATCAGACTTGCTAGAGGTGGACCTCAGCAATGTGGCGCAACTAATTGAAACCTTGTCGGTCCGAAGTTTGCCCATGAGGCTGGAAGTGGGCCTAAGTTGCAGGCAGTTTACTCCTGTGGTTGACCGTTCGGAAGTGCTCACCGCGTGCTTAGCCGCCTTGGTGAATTGAAAATACTGTTTTTCCAACTCGCAAATTCGCTGTTGGCCGATGGTTTTTCCTTGCATGCTAAGTCTCCCTAACTCAGGGGTAGATTTGTGGTAAGTCCCCAGAACTAGGATTCCAGTATTTGGGGTATGCATTGGGGCTCCCCTGCTTATGGAAGCCACCAAAACCCAATAAGTCCCTACACAAACCCAATTTCCAATTTACTTTTCGTTGTTATTTCCGTTTG